GGGGTGAATATATTTTATCATTTTAAATCAGTTCCCTGCAGAGAAAAACTTTACAACCGTAATTTAATATTGGAATAGGTATTTATATTATTAAAATGCTCTCTTCTACCTAAATACCGTATTTATATTGTCAGGTAACTGTTTAACCTGGGTTGTTGTATTGTTCCAGTCTTGTCTAAGTGAATGCAGCTTCAATCTTACCTTCTCCCACTGCGGCTGTGTCCCAGCCAGCATTCTACATGTCAACTCCGCCAGGTTTTGTAGAAATGGTGACGTTTTTGACTAAATATTCATTATATCCATAAAATATTCATTTTGTTTTCAACTTTGTTTTGTGCTTATCTGTTTTTATTTATTGATTACTCTTGGTTATTTTAAGCTCCAAAAAATAATTATATATTAAAATAAAATGCATCAATCTTGATAAGTATTACTACAACCCTATAAGCAGATGTCCATAGTTCTTTCAAAACACAAATTTACTGTAATTAATAGCAAGTGCAGGGTATATAAGCAATTCAGTCTAATAGAAAACAAAGTCTCTGGACGAGTGGATAACACCCTCGATTCCCGACAGTCATGAACCGGGATTGAATCCCGCGTTAAAATTTTGTTTAATATGTGAATAACCTTCACATATTATTCACTGTTTCAATTATCATGAACTAGGTTGCTCTTGCTGAGCGGTACCTATTAATGTGATTTTGAACCGGCAGTCTAATAGAATAGTGAAACGGTCTGAGGAGGATTCACTACTGGATGACCCATACCCTCCCACTTCAATATTTATTCATTGCAAGATAAGGACTGTATAAATAAATTTTAGTTATAATTAAATAACTATTGTTTAAAATGGCTATAATTTTCAGCGATAGAGGTCGAGAAGTTATTGACAATATATTTAAGTATTGTTGGGTGGATGTGATGCCCATTTACCACATTCACTCCCACTTCGGGGGTGTGGTGAAGAAATGATATAAATCTTCGAATTTATACACCCATGGCCATAAATCGAATCCCGCATTGGGTACCTTTTTTACTGAAAAAAAAAATATTCAAATACCTCCAATTCTTGCAAAAGTCTAACCCCACAATGACTACGAGTAGCCAAGCAGGGCTTTAGCACATTTTAATTGCAAAAATTGAAAGACTTTCACATGTGGTGCAACTTACAGTAAAAAATGGTCACTAACTACTCAACATGATTATAATAGCCTTTATTACCTATATTATAGATAAGTAAAAAAAAAATGAAGCTAAAGATATGACATACATTCTTCAAAATAGTACTTCAAAAAGATAACTATAAGAAATATACCCATATATACCCATTGGAAGTGAATGACTCCAATTTTAATTATTTAGTGTAGCGCCTAAATCCAATTAGATAGCATTAAATGATCAGTTTACCCTGATATAGACACTTGACAGTTTCTTTAGGTCATGGCCTGAAATGATAACCATGCTCTTGCAACCCGAAACTACAGTAGCATATGAGAGATTATGTTCACGCCCGACAAGCAAGGATGCTATATGTCATCAAGTCCATGTATCCAAATTCCTAGCTCATGTTCAAGTCAGCAGAAACTCTGTAAAACAGCTCAAACACATCTAATAAGATTATTTCTATCCTGGCACACTTAGTTCACTTGTCACTCCAGAAAAAGGCAGCTTCTCAAGAAGCTACGAGATCCTTTCAATGTCATCATTATTTGAGGCTATAGTCGCGGACAGACAGACCAAAGGTTCTAGCCATGCCCTACTAAGCAGAGCACGGACAATATAGACTATGTAAGCCCTTGCATCAAAGTAATAGTCGCAGAAATGTATTTATAGAAATGAAAATAATTGTATAAATGACACACATACACCGCAAGTTATTTAAAATATATATTTATAGAAATTAATAAAAATATATACTTATTGATATTTTTTGTTAATTTCTCTATAGCAATTTTACCTCTAAAATAAAAATGTATTTCTCTCAACCTGTAGAGTTTAAATGAATATTATTTTTACCCTACAGATTAAGAAATGGAAAGACTAGAAAGCTTCAAATAAAATGCATATGAAAAGAAAACTTGCAATTAGTGGCATTTATATGATTTTATCAACATAGAGTATAGCATTTCATTAAAATAAATATCTGTATCAATACAAGGGTATATATATATATATCCAGAATTTTCTCAAAATTATTATTAATTATATTAATTATCCCTAGTATACGTAATATACAGGCCATGATAATCATGGTGAATAGTTAGAGACTGCTTGTACTGTAAGTGCATCATATGTCTACACATTCTGAATATAGATCAATCCATAATATATATATTTTTTTAAAAAGGGCTTATTTTGGATTTTAATAAACCTCGAAAAAGATGGACGTTTGGTCCATCGAAATATTGGATTAATAAAAAATCTTATTAAAATCCAAAATAAGCCCTATTTTTAAAATGTCTACACATGTGAAAAGCATTCGACTTTGTACTTACAAATGTGTCAGAGCAAAATTCTAATTCCCGGGGAGTACCTAGAATAATGAAGGTCTTAGATTACAGAACTAGTCTCAAGGTGATTGGAAGCTAGAAATCAGGTGTTCTTGCAGAAGACGAAAAGTGTTTGGAACATATTGACGTGGAAGGCTGCAATATCCGCTGTAAACCTGACTGCGAGTAATTATATTTTTTATCCTGATATCCACATTCCTGAATAATTTGCCTTGAAATATATGCAGAAATCATATATTCCAATATGAAGCTTCAGACCGTGGCCTTGAGTTTCTGGTAAGTCATACTACACAAGGCAATAAAACCTTTTAGAGATTCGACTTAATATAGTTTGAATATTTTCATTAGAGACATTCAAGTAATTTACTTGTATTTTGAAATTAGTGTAATATTCCTTCTTTCAGAGTATTTGAGAAAAAATAACCTATTTCAGCATTTTACTTTTCATTTAGGTTGAACCTTGAATATATATTACAATAAGTTTTACGACCGCTACTGAACACCGACAAAAGGGAGGATAACAAGAGATCATCTTTCCCTCTACTCTTGCATTATATTTCCACGTGGAAAATTAGGGAAGATCAACTTCGGGATGAGACATCAATTTATTTCAGGCAAGAACAAACTAAGAATGATAAACAAAAGATAAGTAATGAGGGAAGTTTACAGAGTATCAAAATATAAACATCAAAAATAATACTCTGTTAATAAAATAATACATACTTTGAGACAATATAAAAAGCAAAAAATATTAAGGTATTTGATGCCTTCTGTCGCCTTTTAATAACATGGGTTAGCCAAATGAAAAAAAAAATTCAAATACTTTTAACTTTATATTTTGTTATTCCTCCTTTTATATTTTAATAGATATATTAACAAAAATAGTTTCTATGGATATGGAGAAATAACATATTCAAAAGATGGTTTATAACATTTTGTTTTTCTGAAGAGAAAGGTGTCCTCCAGCAAGAATATTCACTCATGGAGGGTAGGCTGTACAGGAATTTAGTACAGTTAAACCTGTCTTTAGCGCCACCTCTTGGGACTCACCAAAATAGGGTGCTATAGATAGGTCACTTTTAATGTAAATCGCATCGTACTATTTAAAATCGGGCGCTATAAACAGGAAGGCGCTATTTAGAGAGAGCGCTATAGACAGGTTTAATTGTATTAACAAAAATAGTTTCTGTGCAAAAATAACATGTTCAAAAGATTGTTTATAACATTTTGATTTTCGAGCCAAAAAGTAAAATGTTTAGCCATATATATTTCTAATATAATATTTTATTGCAGCTGGAGTTTTTCTCTACCTTCTTAAGCACAGCTGCACAAGTACCATTCAGACGTGGATTTGACTTCATGGCTCATAGTTTGTAAGTAACTCACACATGTAACACGTTGTTGAGAAAAAGAAATTTGATTCTTATTTTGTTTTAGAGAATCTTTCACCATGGGCACATTATTGGCTGGAAAACGGGAAACAATGCATTATACTTTCACCCCCAAATATGATGTAAGTATATTTATGGATATATTTATAAATATTTATTATGCAGATGTGATATCAGCTTAAAAACTAAAAATTTATTTTAACGAAAAAATATACAGTTAAACCTGTCTATAGTGCCCCCTCTTGGGACTCACCAAATTAGAGTGCTATAGACAGGTCACTTTTAATGTAAATCGCATCATACTACGTATTTAAAATCGGGCGCAATAGAGAGGAAGGCGCTATTTAGAGGGGGCGCTATAGACAGGTTTAACTATATATATTACAAGCTCATGACGTGTCAAAGCCGATCTATATCCTTGGTTCCGTTGTTAATTTTTTCCGTTAAACATTTTAAATATTTATTGATACATCTATATATATAAAAATCAATGTTTGTATGTTTGTTTGTATGTCCGGTATACAAATTCGCAGTAGTTCACTAATTCGAACCAAAATTTCCATACATAGGTAAAAAAAAACGGGAAAGACGATAGGCTATTTTTAAAAATATATAAATCAATTATTAAAACTCTATATTCAAATTATTATACTTAGCTCACGAACAGCGCCCTCTATCAAAGATTAGATTAAATTGTGCTGATGCAAACAAATAGATAATGCTAATAACAAACAATTATATAAAAAAAATCTTATCTAAATATATATCACTCGGGTAGATATGCACACGGGTCAATCCCGGGGCGAAGCCTGGGTCACCCGTCTAGTTCATAATATCGACCTCAAAAATATAATATAAATTTATCTTACTCAGCATTGTTTATTCTGCTTATATAGTATCTGCACTTGAAGGTTTATTCTTTGTGATGATTAATGAAACTATGGAAAGAATATTCCGTGTGAAATTATAGAATTTTCAAGTTAAACTATATCACCTTTGTAGAACGACATTTGAAAACTCTCCCTCGTGTGTTTCTTTTGAACGAAAAATCATATTTTATTTAAAGGAGAAATAACGATAATAACGAGAAAATATGTCCAGGGTAGCCTAGTGGACATGGCATCTGCCCAGTAAGCGAACATTGTTTGTTCGTTTCCCATCCCTGGACACTTTATTTTCCGTGTATCAATACTCTTCACAATCCATCCTTTCATACTTCATCCCTAAGGTTAGAAATAATCGTTATTTCTCCTTAAAATAAATTTCAATTTTCCGTTCAAAAGAAACACGTGCGGGATAATTTCAAATGTCGTTCTACAATCATATTGTATTATATCACCTTTATAATATTGTCACGTAAAAGATGAGAGAAGACAAACGTATGCGTGACATGACAAAACATTTCAATCAAAACTATTCACCCTTATTTACATAAAATAAAAGAGAGGGTTTCAGAGAGTGGAATTTTCTGTGTGAAAGAACACTATGAGAATTAATATTCTGTAGATGAAATATTAATTATTATATTACAAAATACTGTTTGATCCAGGCTGGCGAAGTGTTCAGAAATGTTGGAGGCTACATCGGTATCTGGCTAGGTATTGCCATTTCTTCTCTGACTGATTTCCTCAAGATTGGAACAGCCTTCATCAAACATCACCTGCTGGGGCTACACAATCCATTCTGATTTTCTATTTGTAAAACTTGGCTTGAAATACTTCAAATGATCACAAATAGTATATATGTATTATTATTATTATATATTATCTATTATTTCAGACACATTCATTTAAAGATTAATAAAATGCATAATTTCTATTGAATGTGTTTCCACATATTTTCTTGCTCTCCAGTTAGAAATCCTTTCTTAACATATTGTCAGACCTTCCCTTTATCATTGCAGTAAGGTCAGAGAAAAACACAGCCATATCAACCAATACTTTATTTCAATAAATTGATAAAGAGAGAGCAATCTCTCGAAATATTTTGAGATTTTTTTTTCTTTACAGATCCAGGTACGCTCTTTTATATAATCTTAATTTATGGAACGCTTTTTAACTCAAATTATTTCAACTTCAAGTTTTTTTCAAATTTATTCTCCCAGACCTCCCTAATACTAGAATGTATAATACTAATATGTATTCTATTGAACACACAGTTCTCTCTAAACATATATAAAGAACTTTAGAGAAATATTTGATAAGGTATTTTATATAAAAAAAATCTATGAACAAAATTTCTCTGGGATTCCTTCGAAGAAATGTGCGAATTTGTATATAACAAAGACACCTATGTAAAATTCAATCATTTTTGTAAATTCATTTTAGATTTTTTTTCTGTTTGAGTAAACCAACCTTTAAATTTTAATTTTGTTTTTGGTCTTGTTTATTGAATTATATATAAAAGAATAGTTTATAAGTTGCTAAAATGTATTTAAGCGCAAGTATCCCATTCTGGGATATTGTGTCTGATATGTTAAATAAATAAATCAGAAAAATATATATAAATATTGGAGTAAAATATTATTTTATTAACAGAGTATCAATTTTGATTTTCATATTTTGCTACTCTGTAAACTTTCCTCGTTGTATTTATCTTATATTTTATTAATTATATAGTTTATTCTTGTGCCTTAAAAAGTTTCTGTGTTATCCTGAAGTTTGTCTTTCCTAATTTTCCACGTGGAAATATATAAAAGGAAAATAATTTTCAAAATAAGGGTTAAAAACTGGACGTCATTTATTGATATTTTTTGATAATTTATTGATATGTTGCCGCAAATTAGCCGCTTCGGGTAGGTGATAAAGTTACAACAACATCTTTGGAAAACTAAGAAGCCTCCATCTGGAGATCATAGTTTTGAGCTAATGGCCCTCTTCATTAGATTCGCACGGGATCCAATGGTATTGTTACGACAATTAGAGTAGTCAACTTTATTTTTATGCAAATATATTTGTAACTTGAAAACTAAGAGAGAAAAAGTATGTAAATTTCTTTTAATGTATAAATTAGTATGTATTTTTTTATGTATAAATTGACCGTGTTTTTCAATAAAAAAAAGAGTTTTGGATAAGTTTTGGATGGTTGATAGTCGTCCTTAGAGCCTCTTCCTTGGAATTACCGAGCTGGTCAAGTAGCTGGACACTAGGTCGTCTCTCAAGGTAAAGAGACAGCATCTATATTAAGAACCTCCTCAATAGGTATAAAGTCCGCCCTGAGCTAAAGAAAGTCATTAGCTCGAAACCTTGGTTTTCCGGTGAACGCTTCTCAGTTTGCCGCTAGTTTTCGGGGACCGTCAATAGATAGCGTCTAGTTTTTGACGTTTATTTTGACTGGAGAGCCGACCTTTGCTTCTATAGATCAATTTCCTCTTGGAAAAATTTCTATCTATATAAATTCATGCATTTCTTTTCTGCAAAAAAATCACAAATGAGAGCTAAGATAGAGGCTGTCTGGCCGGAATTCATATTTATTTTTTAAAAATAGACTTTACTGGCTGAATGGTCAATTTTTTAAAGAAAAATTATAATCAGTTTAACTAAAACTATTTAATCGAAATAAGGATTTAAAAATTGTTTTATTTGAAAAGATAAACACGCCCTAAAAATTAACATCTTATATGTAGATGACGCGTTAATAGCTTATATTTAATTATTGCACTACTGGCCTTTTTAGGAGTTGTTTGCGAAAGAGCAATCAAAATATATATTAACGAAAATTTGTCTTTAAATACCCATTTCTTGATTTCTCAGGATTTCCGAGATATGTTTAGGCAAGACTTTTGACTTTAAAAAAGTCTTTATTGCTATTGTTGTTTCTAGCTAGTGGATTATTCTGTATGTAACATGTGTGTTTGGTCATCTTAAAATTATAATTTCATTTTGTAACTATAGAGAAGAGTTTGAAGGATTGATAATTTTAAGATTTCTAAGGCCATTGAAAACGTAGAGAAAAAAAAAGAAAATTAATTGAAAATAAAATATTGAGATTAAAGCCAAAATTATCACTTTTTTATGAGAGAGAGAGATAAGAAGAATGCACCACCTTTGGTGAAAATAGAAGAGGAGCAGAGTAGTGAGAAGTTTTATTTGTTAAAAAATTCCAATAAAATTGGAACACTATGCAAAATATGGTACACTATGCAAAGTTGACACCATATGAAAAATATGGCACACTGCAAAATTAGCATACTATGCAAAATTCGCAGACTATGAAAAATTTGACACACAATGAAAAATATGGCACATTAAGCAAAGTTGCCCTACAATGTAAACTTCGCACGCTTTAAAAAAAAATATGGCACACTAAGAAAAATATGGCATACTATGCAATATACAAAATTTGCGTTGTTTTTTTAGTATTAATGTGATCTAAAAAGTGGAAAAAAATACAAGCGATTATTTTAAGGTATCGATTATTTCAACATAGAACACAAAGCTCTACAAAAATAAATAATAATTATTAAGCTAGCTCCAGGAGGCGGTGTTTGATGAAGGCTGTTCCAATTTTGAGGAGATCAGTCAGAGAGGAGATGGCAATACCTAGCCAGATACCGATGTAGCCTCCAACATTGCTGAACACCTCAGCAGCCTGGATCAAACAACATTGTACATGTAATGGTTCAATTTGAACATTTGTTTGAAATAGTTGTGTTCAATTTGATATGTTAGGGATGGTGTAACATAAGCATTTTCGCGGCGGTCTGAAATATATACAAGTGTTACTCCAAAAGTTTTTGCAATCAATATTAAATAATCTATATATATATATATATATATAATTGAATGTCTGTCTGTCTGTACTCTATAGATTCAAAAACCACACATCCAATCGCCCTGAAATTTTGTGATATTATTAGGTATATCCCAGGGAAGGTTTTTGAAAAATAATTTCATTAATATCTTGAATATCCTCAGAGTTATTTGCAGATTTGTAGATTTAACTCGCAAGCAGCGCCCCCATTGCGACGATGATTACAAGTTTTTTTATCTATAAGTTTTATCATCACTAAGTTTGCTATCTTAAAGATTATTTATCAAAAGTAAGATTTTCTACCTATTAATTGCGTACAAGTCAAAGTTAGCTTTATCATTTATCTACAAGATATATTGGGAGAATAGATAAAATGATGATTTTGTAATGTAGAAAATTAGGAAAGACAAAATTCAGGATGACACGGCAATTTATTTGAGACAAGAATAATGATAATTAATATTGATTTAATTCAACTTATCGAGTATATTTTAAGGGACCGGGGAAAAATGTTCACTTTATCGAGAGATTCAAATTTACGAGTTTCGAATTATCAAAATATATCTTTTTTTTTATAAGTTTATTATCTTAAAGATTGTGAAAAAATAGTACAAATGTAACATTGTACTGGGATAAGGTGCATAAATTAAGAAAAAGGCATCTCCTTATCGTGCAACTGAAAGTTGCTGATGGCTGGCGCCATCTATCGTAATAAATATCAACTTTTCTCGTTGATTTTTAATTATTCCAGAATTGGCCAAATACCCATTCTTGATTAATCAAGAAAAGCTAACCACGGACGCGTTTCGGGCTGTTGGCCCTCATCAGCGTGGTGCAATTCTGGAATAATTAAAAATCAACGAGAAAAGTTGATATTTATTCCGATAGATGGCGCCAGCCATCAGCAACTTTCAGTTGCACGATAAGGAGATGCCTTTTTCTTAATTTATGCACCTTATCCCAGTACAATGTTACATTTGTACTATTTTTTCACATTGTGTAGCGTCCTCACGCAATTCTGGCCTTAACTACCCGTTTCATGATTTTTCAGGATGCTTTAATGACCAATTTTTTGGTCGTTGAGGTACAGCTTGCACCACGCTGATGAGGGCCAACAGCCCGAAACGCGTCCGTGGTTAGCTTTTCTTGATTAATCAAGAATGGGTATTTGGCCAATTCTGGAATAATTAAAAATCAACGAGAAAAGTTGATATTTATTCCGATAGATGGCGCCAGCCATCAGCAACTTTCAGTTGCACGATAAGGAGATGCCTTTTTCTTAATCTTAAAGATTATTTATCAAAAGTAAGATTTTCTACCTATTAAATGCGCACAAGTCAAAGTTAGTTTTATCATTTATCTACAACATATATATTGGGAGAATAGATAAAATGATGATTTTGTAATGTAGAAAAT